CATTAGAGGAGAATTTTACTTTTATATTGTTTGTTCTTAATTTAGTTTTATTTGTAATATGTCATTATGCCAAGCAACTACAAGTTTAAAACTACACAGTGAACAGAATGATATTAATTTACCGTTATTTTACCAGGCAAGTACCTCTTTGAGATCTCAGATCTCTTTTTCAAGGGAGGCCTGGGCCTGAAGGCAACCTATTGTACGAGGGAAACCAGAGAACCCAGAGAAAACCCACGCAAGCACGAGGAGAACATGCAAACTCCACACAGAAAGACCCCAGGTCTGAACCGGGGATCGAACCCAGGACCTTCTTGCTGTGGGGCGTCGGTGCTAACCACTGAGCCATCGTGCTGCCAAATAATAATAACAACCTCYGACTTTCAGTTCCTACATCAACAGACATGGAGATGATTAAATATTAGGTTTATTTTACTGCCACCTGAAGTACGTCTGCTTTTAAAAAAAGTCAAGAAAATATGATATAATATGAATAAACTAAGAGATGAGGTCAATAAAAACAAAAACAATTGTTCTTATTTTTCTCATTTGTGTTTATTGTGAAATTGATCTTAAATTTAATTTCAAGTGGCATTATTGTTGTTAAAAGTTAGTTTTCTGCCCATGAAGCACTGTTTTATGCAGAAAATACTAAAACTCTAAAAAATTAATATTTTATTCTTGCTAATAATACAAGCAGTACTTTAAATGTTTGAATTGACCAATTTCTGTAATTTACTAGTTTCTGTTTCCTCATCCTTGTCATTAAAATACAGTTTAACTGATTAAAAACACCTCAATAATAGGTTTAAAATCATCACTGAACTGAAATTATAACATTAATGGATCACCTGAACTAGCTAACTGCACTGAGATTTGGTAGAAAAAAGTGTCCCGTGGGAAATTTTGATTTATTTTCCGTATTTTTGTAAAGAAAACAGTTTTACCAAAAGCTGGACATTATCAGAGGAGTCTGACATTACCTCTCACCAGTTGTAGCCTGCACTCAGGATTCAACTCGTTTATGCTTAAGAAGGCAGAGAAGGCAGCCCGACATGACGCACACAGCCTGTGTGTGTCTCTACAGGTTTTTGCTGCCTGGTGGGGACCATTTCCCCTGTAAACACAGCCTGGTGGTGAGGACCCACTGTTACTTATGGGGAAAAAAGCCCGGTCACCGTTGGGGAAAATACTTTTGGTGGGTCAGGATTAGGCTGTATAAATGATTATTAATTGAAACAGATTGATATTATTAATTAATTACTGTCTCCTGACTCTTTTGCAGAACGAAGAGAAGAAAAAGAGACGCAGCTCAGCTGACTGTCGGTTGCAATGCACAGCAGATGTTCAAAAAATAAATACAAAAACACACACACCAAAAATTATTTTGATTCATGCATGTAATGGAAACTTTGTTGAATAAATGAAAAGGCAGCAAAACAAAGACGGGGAAATGGGTGAGGTCAG